AGATGGAAGAGTTTTATAAAATAAACTTCATTCTTGAAGTTAAGCAGCATCTTCAAAGAATACTTGAGCGTTTTGCTCTTTTTTCTATTATGTTTTAAAGAGTGGTGGTTTACATGGCATGAATGAGTTATTTGGTGTTCAGATAAGACTTCGGAAACGTATTTTTTAGCGTTACTTAACTGATTTACAAGGAGACAAAAATGAACTTTATTATTTGGGTACCTGGGATATAGAAGCTGAGGATGATAAGAAGGACAGAGTTAAAATATTTTCTGAAAGTAAATACCTGGATGGAAGACGAAAAAAGGTAACTTTTTTCCGCTCATGTGGCTTTGCTTAGAAGTGGAACTGTGGGACGATGAATCGAAAATTTTTCAGAAATTTGATCCCAGAATTGTAAAAAGACTCAGTATGGTAGCAGATGAGATTTTCAAGGTATGCCGTAAATGCGACTTTTGAGATCCAATTCTTTGGACCGATTTTCTAACTTTTTCATGGCGACGGTTCGGCACCATCTTATCTAAATGTGCCTGTTTCTGTGGCAGATTGCAGATTTAAGGAATTTAATTTGTTTTTTATGAGACCAGTATTTTTTTTTACATTTGTTTCTATTAGAGTTGAAAGAACCCAATATTTTTTGTCAAAAATGTACCTGTCAGTTGTGTTTAAGGCGACTTCATTGGATACTGTTGTAGTCGGTGACATAAAGGACGTTTATTCGCTTCCTAGAGAGAAAAGATGGATGCTATATCGTTTCTGGTGTACGAGACTGCAAAATTATGCCGAAGAAAGGCTGAAAGTCATGCTTCAAAGTTACAAGGATTTAACAGGTGAACTAAAGCAGAGGAAAGTCAGTTGTGAAAATGATGTATTGAAGAGAGCCCTGGTAATTTTTGCCGTACTTTTTTACCACTTTTAAATGGAGAAGTACAAAATTGAGCATTATTTTGGTATTGTCAGATCATTGGTGCAACAACAACTGGTGCGGCCAAGTCAAGAGCCCAATTAAACGAAATAGGATGCCCTGTCGTGATTGCGGAAGAAGCAGCAGCAGTTTTGGAGGCTCACCTCGTTGTAAGCATACCTCTTCATTGCAAACATGCAATTTTGATCGGAGATCACCAGCAATTAAGGCCGAACCCAGGTAGTTTTTTAAATCTTCCATTGCTTTGAAAGCTAGGTTTATTTTACTAGAATATTATTATCATAACTTTTGGTAGAATACGGTTTTATAACTAATTTTTAATCGTTTTAAGCTGCTACGTGTTGTGAACGCCTTGTACAAATTATTCGCATTAATTTATGGTTAAGGTCATACACACTACTTTGCTATTTGGTGTAGTGCGGCTTTGAATTTAGAAGACCGGAAGTAAATCGGAAAAATAAATTTTCTAGCAAATTTGGCAATTGTGGCAGATTTAAGCATGATATACTTGCTTATGAATAATCTTGCGCAAGTATAACGTGATTTAAAAGGTTCTAACTCTTTTAACAGCTTATTTCTTTTATTAGGCTGCGATTTTCAAGTGGTTCTCACTAGAAATTTTGAAACCTAGTGCTTCAACCTTTCCACACCCTCTAAAAAAATTTTTACTTACATAGTTTTAAATAAGCAAGTATATCATGCTTAAATCTGCCACAACTGTCAAATTTGTTAACGAAGTTAACGACCAAATTTGAAAAAATATTCTTA